CCCAAACATGCCTGGTGATACGTGCATTGTGTGCGGGAATACTCGGAAGAAAGATCCTAGTGTGTCCATGCATCGGCTACCTAAGGGAAAAAGCAAGAGGCTGCGGTGGCATGCGCATTCAATCTCTGCGCAGTATGGAAGGATGGAAGGATAGAAGAATGGAAGAATGGCAGGATGGAAGAATGGAAGTTCGTGTAGAACAGAAGGATTCCGTAGATAATACGGTAGACCATTAGAAGGTCATTAGCTAGGTTTATTAGGTTTACAGTGGCGATTTTCCTGAAACGATTGCGTTCCAGAGATAAACAATACGGTAGACCATTAGAAAGTCATTAGGTTTATTAGGTTTACAGTGGCGATTTTCCTGAACGACTGCGTTCCAGAGATAAATGAAAAGCACTAAAGTGCAAACCCTCGGCGAACTGCGCATGTGCGGTACCACTAATTGATGGGCTGGGCTTTTTATGCCTTTACTCGTGGTATCCCGCTAGTAGCTCGCGGAGAGTCTGGCACGGGCTAGCTACAGTAGTAAATAGCATGCGGGAGTCGATACATGCCCTTCGTTGTGACTTGTTGTGCCTTCAAGACACACAGAGCGAACGGACGCGGTCGAGGTAAGCCTATGCTAATTTACATATTGGCTTGTTCACTTGGTTTTCACGCCATAACTTTAGAACGCAGTAGTTTTACGAAAATCGCCTTTTTTAAAAATCAACCCAGTGTAGCACTGAACCCGATCATATCGCTATTTACCTGATTTCGTGCGCGCGGTGGCAGAAAACGTGGTAACAGACAGACAGACAGACAGACAGACGCACTTACGGGACAACTACCGTAACCCTCGCTGCGAATGTGCGCCGAGGGTTAACAAGCGAAAAAGCGTACGCGAGCGATCCATCGCGCACGCGCGTATGTGGATGTATACCATTTGCCGACACTCTGCAGTCTAGGCGAGCGCTCTACCAACTGAGCTATCAGGGCAACTCAGCTGGTAGGGGTTAGAATCTACAACACAACGCAAACCTCAAACCACTGTGCTATGGCACAGTATACTCTCACTTAGCATGTATTGCAGTATACTCTCACTTAGCATGTATGGCAGTATACTCTCACTTAGCATGTATGGGAGCTAAGCATAATATGGATGGAGTCTTGAATCGAAGTATATGCATGCAGCATTAGAAAAACTGTTATTCCTCTGAGGAAACAGTATTAAAAAGACTTCTCAGTTTCAATCAGAGAGAGAAATTTGCAGTTGATATTCCGGCATTAGTTGCAGCTTTAAAAGGAATGTGACAATATAGGGGGCTAAATTTAATTGCACTGGTTTGGCACCATTAATTTTAGTAACATTTATACTGATAAAATTATACATTCCCTTCAAGTCCTTGACTTAGCTACACAAAATTAGTACAACTCTCCCTTTAACATTTGCAGCAGTCAATTATGTCCAAGACAGCATGAGACATAGTGCATATTCATTAATGGTATATAGTAGGGTATGAGTGTAATATGGAGACCCAAAATGATATAGCTGTGTACACAGGTGTGTATATAGGCATGTATATATCTACACGTGACCTATATACTGCTAGACTGATTTTCAGGCTGAGCAAAATTGGATCAAAAACTGTTCTTCGAGAAATGGAAGGTGTCCTTATTAGAGAAACATGTGCACATAATGCAATATTTATGAACTAGGGTGCAGTGTTGATGTATGACATCACATCTTGGAGTTCGTTCACCAATGTCCTCAGTTGGATGGACAGTATCAGTGAGCACGGCTCTCCTCTCATCAAGATAGCTCTGGTCGCCCACAAGATTGACCTGGAGGACGACAGACAGGTCTCAGTGGAGGAAGGACAGAAGGTTTGTTGCTCTTAACACTTTGCAGTATATAGACTCAACCTCTTAATGCTTAACTAACTGCAAAGTAGACGAAAGCTTAAAATGTAGCGACAGTATGAAATTTAAAGGGAGAAATGTTTGTGTGATCGGGATCAGTTCTGACCCTCTAGACTGTACAGTACACAGCACTGCTTTTCCAATGTGTGGCCTCTGTCTTTTTGTATGCCAGCCAAAAGGTCTTCTTCTTTTGCTATTACCCTAATTGCCTAGCGCGTTAGCATGAGGCAACTACTCCGGGTTGTATTCTCGCGATATGCGTACGTGTCCGTCACGCTTAAGAATGTCAATTAGTCACGCTTAGGGAATGTCAATTAGTCACACTTAGGAATGTCTATTTCCGCAGTGCGCGCAGATTCGTAGGAAGTCTGGCTTCGCGTGCAGTCACTAGAGCGCACGCACGAGCGGCCTCAGTCGGACTGTTTACGCATTGCCTGGCAGGCGCGAGGCAAAATATGCGCATGCGCATTCCTGGTAATGTCCATATTATGCACATAGTGGCAAATAATGATAACGAGAGCTTCTTATTTCTCATGCAGCTTGCAGAAACCTACAATTGTCTCTTCTTTGAAGCCAGCTCCAGGGCTGGCAAGAACTGTGCCAAGGTATTTACCATGGAACCTTATAGTTGGTATATATAATGCACCTAATGGCAAGTGAATGTATGGGGTTTCCTGCTAATATTAGGTATTCAATATGTTGGCACAAGAAATCAAGAAAGCAAAGGATGAATCCAATTATGTAAGAATCTTACCACCTAGATTTTACTACACTTCCACCATTTTCTCCAAACATGAAACGTACCTTTAGAATATTGAGTGTCCTCTTTTCAGAAGTGTCCCTTATTCAGAGGTTGCAGAATCAAGTGCTTTATAGAATGTTGTCTTTTTCAGAGGTTTCACTATACTTCCCCCACACAGATCAAGGCCCACAACTCAATGCCAGCCACAGAGGCCAGTAGAAGGATACTAGCAGAGAATGACTTGAACTCTAGTGGTAGTCAGAGTAGGGGAAAGACTTCCTGCTGTGCCAGATAACCAAAACATTTGCCGTGTATGTAGTATTGTAGTATTAGGCTAAATTTTTCAAATTTGTTCTTGCTATACGTAATTTCTGCACAGTTTGAAACAGGTAGCTATCCATTGTCCAGATATTATAGCTATTACCCACTCCTGTCACATAGAACTGCATACAGAGTGCCAATGGCTGGCTTGTGCTGGTCAACACTCGACACACATACAACACTGAGGTTTGCGAGCGAATTGTAATACAGTGCGTGCGTCAGTACAATCTGGAGTTGCGTGCGCAATGTAAAAAGTAAGTCCACTACCAAACAGCATGTTACAACATAATACACAACCTAGAGTCGCAAACTAAACTAAATTTTGTCCCAGTTCATGTTCATAATGTTCTCGAACAGCTCTCTAATGCCCTCGTGGGTCAACTCCTGGGCTGGTACAGTTATACTCCCCCCCATAGAGAGCAGTATTCAAAAGCTTTTGTATTACAATTTTAAACTCTCGCTCCAGTGAAGCAAAGTTGGAGAAATCAAAGATATGGTATTCATCTAGCTGCAAGTCATTCTCGCCATAGCATCCCAGACTAAGATCATCATAGTTTCCAACTCCAATGGCGAACGTGTCTACCCCCCTGCGATTATGGAGACACTGTATTTCGGTGCAGATGTCAAGTGACGGATCATTTGCACGTCCGTCAGTGAAAAAGATGACATCAGTACAGCCAGCATTAACAGGATAACCACAGGTATCAGTGAGCATGTACTCACACACACATTTTGCAGCTCCTGCAGTGTGTGTCGAACGCCCATGGCGTCTGTAATCAGTGGCATTTATGGCAGCACTAGCCCCTACTCGTCCAAGTGGGCTATTGTCGAACTCATCGAAACAGAACTCGGCATAAAATTGGTTATCAAATGTCATTGTGGCCACTCGTATTGGCTTGCAGAAGTAACGGACAAGTTCCGCGAGTAGGTCAGTCACTCGATCAAACCATCGTTTATCAATGCTTCCAGATGCATCAAGAACAAAAAGGATGTACTGTTCTCGACAGTTGTCCCGATGACTTCGTCTGTATCGTGATCCATGTTCCTCAACATTGAAAGGTATTGGATCCACTGGCAGAGGCTCTGGCTCATTGGCAGATTGTCGTCTGTTCATTTTTGCACCTTTCAGCTCATCACGGACTGAGCGACGACCTACAGTTAGTGTATAATGGCATATAACTTTCAAAATTAATTATTATAGAGAATACCTTGTCCAGAGAAATCGTGGCAGATTTGTTCTGCGTGTCGACGACTTCTATCCCCTTCTAACCCTGCTGGTGATCTTTTTCCTAATGGTCCTCCTCCTGGTGGGCCTAGTGGTCCTGGTACTGTTGATCCTGGAAGTCCTGGTGGCGCTGTTGGAGCTGGAACACAGACTACGTTGTAGTTGCCTGGACCATTAGTTGGACGATTGATAATATCATTAAAACTGAGTAAGCGCTTCAACCGGCATGAACCAGGTGGACCAGTTGGAGGAGGGGAATTTGGTGGACCAGAGGGTCCAAGGGGAGTAGTGCCCGGTTGACCAGTGGGACCAGATGGGGGGGTTGAAGTGGATATAGAATCACTACTACCCAGACCCAGAGCCAGAATGATCCGATCAGAGAGTTCTGGCTCACCTGCGAGAGAGCATGGTGTCAGCAATAAGGTCAAAGAAGACAATAAAACTTCACATGCACATGCGAGGTGATCTTAAGAGAGAACTTACAGACTATTCTGTGTTCAACAATATCTTGACACTCCCCACTGATGCGCTGTTGTTTTCGTTGGTAAGTGAGAGTGCTCAGGGAGGGACACTGGGAAGCAGGCACAGCTGTACGGTTGATGGCCGACCAGTCAGTCCACTCACTGCGGAGACAGTCACAGTGAGTGAAGAGGTAGGCAAATGCAGGGTTAAGACGGAGGACACTATCACACGACGGCAGGCGCCCAGCAACAACAGCAAGCCCAGCAATTGCTAGGACCATTGTTGGTGTAAGACGACTCATCTTGAAAAACGTTTAGCTTTGCCAGCAAACGCTTCTGCTAAGGTTGATTTCCAACCGTGCTTTTATTGGCGAGCGGGAGCGAGCCGTCGTCGTACGTCGTGTAAGTGCGCATGCGCGGCTTTGTACGCGCGCGCTTCCTCCACACACGCACACGGTGCCTCGCGTTATTCTCTGGCGCCTCCGAGGTAATTATACGCAGAGCACGCGGATCGGTCTGACCGCGGTAAAAAAAAGCCAATATGCAAATACACAACTCATCTTGAAAAACGTTTAGCTTTGCCAGCAAACGCTTCTGCTAAGGTTGATTTCCAACCGTGCTTTTATTGGCGAGCGGGAGCGAGCCGTCGTCGTACGTCGTGTAAGTGCGCATGCGCGGCTTTGTACGCGCGCGCTTCCTCCACACACGCAGAGAATAACGCGAGGCACCGTGTGCGTGTGTGGAGGAAGCGCGCGCGTACAAAGCCGCGCATGCGCACTTACACGACGTACGACGACGGCTCGCTCCCGCTCGCCAATAAAAGCACGGTTGGAAATCAACCTTAGCAGAAGCGTTTGCTGGCAAAGCTAAACGTTTTTCAAGATGAGTTGTGTATTTGCATATTGGCTTTTTCGCGCTCAACGGAGCAGTTTCAGAGAAAACCGTTCGAAATTCAGACCTTCATTGCCCGTTAAGTAGGTCATATGCTTTGTGAGACGAACAAACACTCGAGAAGTGAGATGTAGAGTAACATACAGACACACACAGACAGACAGACCCTGGCTGCGCATACACACCGAGGTAACAAGTATGCTGAAATTAGTAGATGACAGCAGTCTCTGATCTTCTCTGAGACAGCCAACTACTGAACCTCCATAATCAACAGTGGCGAGGGTTATGCACTTTCAGTGCTTTTCATTATTTTGTTGCTGTTGTGTGTTGTTTGCAGTGCACGGATTCCTTTAGGCCACTTACGATGTGAATGAGGACGCACGACTGGACAATATGTTCCAACTAAACGTGAAAGGAATGACACCACTGAGTACTCTTACTGTCACTGGAACCACCACGGCTGCTCCAGATCCAGATGGAACTGCAAGTTAGCTCCAGTATATAGACTTGTACAACCATTCAAACTATGGATTGAAGTAGATAAAGTCTTTATCTTTTATGGCATTAGATTCCTACAGTGAAGTAGAGGTA